ATTTCGTATCTTGCCAGCAATTAAGTTAAGAATTTGAACTCTTCTCTAGGGTATTCATAATTCATTAGAAGTCTACATCATACAGATAGTCTCGACTCAAAAATGATTAACCATTGTGAAGACTTCTCTTATTAGTTTAAGTCAAAGAAAAATAAATATTTTCTGAAAGTTGTTCAAGTCTTGTAAATTATTAATAAGAATTTGTTTTTTCTTATTCTCGGAATAAAATATGAGTAATATTAGAATAAAAGATTGTCTTTGATTAATAAATAATAAATGATGAAAAATTGAAAAAGAGAATATTCTTACAATGTTTCCAGCAATAGCATTTTCTGCCATTTTTTCTGTCGTAGCAACAGCAGCTTCTTCCTTTGGTGCTTCTTCTTCAGGTTGATCACCTTTTTCATTTAGAAGCTTTAATTCCATTATATTTTCATCACCCAAATCAATTAATCTATTAAAAATAAATCAATATAGAGAGTGTTCAGAAAGTAACAAAACAAAGAAAATTTTGAATATATATCTTCGCCATATTTTCATTCAATGGATTTATATTATTACCACTATCAAAGGAGTATGCATGCCTCATATTCATAAGGGAAATGTTGTTAAAAATTGTTTTGAAGAGTAATACAACCAACTTCAACAAGAAACTAACATTTTCCGAGTAATGAAAAAAAAACAATATGTTAATTCCCTTAGCCAAGAATAAATGACGTGTAATTTTATCGATTACTTTTTCACACTAGTGTCTCTTTTGGTCTCATATTTATACTAGAGATATATATCTTGTTACTCAATGTATTCTGAAAGTTTCAACCATTGAGAAAACTACAATATTGCTTTTTCATAAATCATGAAAGATTACAGTTTTTTGTTGAAGTTAGTTGTACTAGTTTAAAACAACTTTTGACAATGTTTCTACTATGAATATGAACTATGCCTAACCCTTTATCAATAGTAAAAATATCAGCTCGTTGAGTCAAAATATGGCGGAGATATCTATTCAAACTTTTCTTAATTTTGTTACTTTCTGGAAACCTTGTATAAACAATTTTAGATATATAATAAAAAAAACTTAAAATTTAACATGAGAAGATATGTTTTTTGTCGTTAATTGAAATAAGTGTAAAATAAAAAAACAAACCTATGTTCATCTGTATCCCATCTTCCCCAACAAAGATCGATGCCACCAATAAAAGCAATTCGTTGATCAATAATAACAGTTTTTTCATGATGAGAATAAAGAAATGATGATTCAGTTCCAGGTACAACACTATGATTAGGATGTCGAATTACTTTTATATTTTTTTTATTTGGACTTTTAGCTATTAATTTTAATTTTGTATGCAAACTATTTAAACCAACAACTTGTACAATATCTTTAAATATCATTACATAAACACGAATTCCTTCTTCCTAAATTTGAATATATTCATACAATAAGAAAAAGAAAAAAATGTTGAAAGCTTACAGCTCGTTTACCAAGTAGATTATCAAGTCGCATTGAATCATCATCACAAGGACGAATAAGCATTATTTCAGGTGAAAGCCACCAATCAGTTATAAATATTTCTTCACGTGCTGCTAATATAGCTTTAGCTACTGCTTCCATATATAATTGACCATTTACAAACCTATATCAATATAAAACAATATTTTTTTATTTTTATTTATGACGCTTTTCTCTCATTAGATTCCTATCGGATGTTTTCTTTTCAGTTTATATTAAAAAATTATATTTTTGAAAGTTCATTTTTAGTTTTAAAAATAAATTTTAATTCCAATAGACTTAAGTGAAATAGTAATTAGTACAATTCCTATTGAATTAAAATGTGAAAACTGATGTATCTCTTCCTGTTAATCATAAGTAGATTGTTTTATTCGTTCTCTTTTTTCAGATACATTTATTCATCGTCCTTTTATTCAATCTTCGAGAAACGCAATAATGAAGTACTTCATATATTACAATAGGACATTATTCATATACGATCTTTAGTTGTATATTAACAACGACTATTAGACTCTGTGAGAAATGTAAGTTCCTATCCAATATACTTCAAAATGTTTTTTAGATCGTCTTTCACAAAAAAAGTTAATCTCTTTTCTTAAGAAGAATATTCAATAAGAAATATATTACGAACCAGCGAGCATATTGTTGTTGTCGTTTTGGTGCATATGAATTAAAAGGATGCTGTTCAATAAAAAGAGATTTATTTTTAACATTGATAAGATAATCAAACCAAATATCTCTTTCATCTTCTTTTTCAAATTTAATAATCATTGAACGTTGTAAATTTTTTATTCGAATACCATTATTAGTTGAAGTTTTTCTAAAGCCTTGTTCAATAGAAAAAGCTTTATCAACAAGCATTGGAAATCCAACTAAAGCTGAACCAGGATTCATATAAACAAGATATGAATCTTTAAGAACAAACCATTTTTGTCCATGATGAAATTTAAGTTTATCACATATAAATGGAGCTCGAAAGAATACTGAACGACCACGAAAATCATCATTTGAACGTTTTGCAATAGAACCTTCTTTTAAACTAACAGCCAAACCATGTACAAATGATAATGGACTCACTTCAAAAAATTCTCTCTATTTAAATAAATTAATCAAAATTTTATTTTATTTTTTTAATGTTTTTATATATATTTACCACAGCTATATGCTCACGAAATTTAGGATGTTTTAAGACTTTATTTAAATAATCTTGTAATACTTTCTATAAATTAAAATTAAATAAAAAAAAACAATAAGAAAAAAAATTCGAAATCTTACACATCGATCTCCAATTGTGAATTGATTTATAAAATCAATACGATCATTACGAGTTGGAAAACATGGTTGTTCTTCTTGTCTTTTAATTAATGAAGGATTTTCATTATTATTCGATTTTTTTCCTGATAAATCACTTCTTCAAATTAAATATTTAACAAAAAAACAAAACAAAAGACTACATAAAATCTTTATTAGACAATCTTACTTATTTAAACTACTTATAGATCGTCCTGTTTGATTTTCAACATAATGAATAAGATCTTTGTGAAGATCATGAAAATGTTTATAACGTTTCTGTATTGTCCATTCAAATGAATAACCATGACGAACTTTTATTGTATATCTTTTTTTTTTAAATAATAAAAATATTACTTTTTTTTTAATATAAATCATTTTTTAATAAATACTTACAAATAAGGATAAAGAAATTCTGTTACAGGATTAAAATCTCTTTCTGCACTTATATTTATAACTTCAACTGGTAATCCATCAACAAATACTTTATTACGTCTCAAATATACATCTGTCAATGGACGTTTTCCATCTATTTTAAATAAAACTAATAAAAAAGAAAATAGGAACTTTCTTTGCTTATTAATACCTGGACATAATTGTGGAGGTTCTTCAAGAAAATTCCAATCTGGATAAGGCAAATATTCAATATGTCGTCGACGAGAATGGCCTAAAAAATATATTGAGAACATTGAAAGATAATGGATTAATTATAATGCTAATTGATTTATGAATTGATTATATTATAAAAGATTTTATAAATAAACATTCAATTTATTTTAAAAAGTTTTAAATATTTATAAGAAATATTAAATTAAAATATAAATAAATTATTTTTCAATAAAAATAATTCCTATAATAAAGCTATAGAGATTTTATTGACGAATAAAATATCTTTATTTAAACAAGTAACTCAATAACAAATATTCGAGTTAATAATAATGAAAAATGAAGAGTGTATATTTACCTGAAGCCAAAGTCATATCTACCATGTCGGTTGTAGGCCTTATGAGACATTCAATACCCATCGATGTATCCATTTGAGTCATTTTTTCTTTTCTATTCAAATGAATGATTGAAAAAAAAAGTCTTTTTTAATATTAAAAAGAAATTCTCAATCGTAAAAATAAAAAGATAAATTGCATGAAAGCAATACTGCTATGTAATCGTTGTTGTTTTTTTTTCTACATTCTCTATTTTTTCCGTTCTATGTTTTTTTTTTTTTGTTGTTCTTTGGCCTTGCCACATTTCATCCCAGTCCGATAGGATACATTGCAGCTGTTTCAACGATCGTCTATTGCGGCTTGAAGATAGAAAGACAAAGAAAATTATTTTTCTTTTTTCTTTTTTTTCTATTCTATGACGAAAAAAAATACTCAACCACGTTCTATCGACTGTTTACTTCGACAAAAATTATATGAAGAATGATTAATACTAATGGATTTTAATAGTACAGAAAATAAGCAGATTAATTATCAAATATATGAAAAAATATTGTTTTTATATAGAAAATAATTCATCGATTGAAAATTTTAAAAATTAATTAGGAATATTTGATAAATTTGTTAATGTCAGGAAATATTTCTTAATTGTTAGTTTCTATTTGGCAACTATTCTATCTATGTTTTTTGTTAGAATATATCTATTGGAGAAATCTTACCAATAGAAACTTTGTTTTGTATTTATCTATCATTAATAGCAAAATAATTAATCAAACCGATAAACATTTTATTTAAATTTATATTTAATAAAAATTATCTTGAAATCATAGAAGTAGAGACACAAAAAAAAAATTTTTTTTGTTAAATTCTTTGATAAATAAATTATTTGTAACTAAAACCAATTGATAAATGTTTTGATAGGAAGAAAAATGCTTTTTTTTTTTAAATGACATTTTCAATTATTCCAGAATCTCCTGAGTAAATAAATCATATATTTAAAACATAGATTTATTCAGAAGTTGCGATATAATATTCACATATTGAATCACTAAAAGAAAAATAACATTTCTACAGATTTTACTTGACACATTAATAAAACTTCAATTCTTCGTAAAACAAACAATAAAAAAGTTTCAGTTTCAAATCACGAAGCTGTACCAATGAGTCTTTAAATCAAAATAATTTTCTCAAAAATTGAACAAGTAAAATTCGATTGAATCAATTTTTATTTATTAAGAACATAGAATTAATTTTAATATTTATTCAACGTAATTATTAGTATTTTCACGAAAAGATAAATCGTCTCTTCTACAATAATATTTTTCAATCTTTAAAAAGAAAAAATTATTATCGAAGATAATATATCGAATAGAAGACTAAACTTATGTTCTCTTAAGTAACAACTTCAATGTGGTTATATACTAGTTATCATTTACGACTATTTATCAAATTGGTCGATTCAACTAAGTTATAAGAAAACATCTAACCACAAATTATCAGTTGAAAATATCCATTTTGTGACATTATTCTAATGGGACACACAAATAAATTGACTATTAACACTATCTTGCAATCAGATAATCAAACATTATGCGTAAAATAATCTCTCTAAATATATTTCAACGAACTTGTTAAATACTCGATCAGCTACTCAGGCAGTATTTGACGTTCTATTATGAAAATATATTTCTAAATATCAGTTAAGTAAAGAACTGAAAAGATCAACATCTTTTTTTGAATGAACAAATATCATAATACGTTCAGAATGTAATTCATTTTGAATAAGATAAGCAACAATTAATGGTTTATATGTTATTCAATAAACAATAAAATTTTCAAGTAAAATTGAAAGCATTGTAATCGATGTCGATATTGACAATGGTAAAAAAAAGTACCAGACGAAAAAGATTTAATTGTTGTAAAATTTCAGGATTATGTGTTAATGTTGCTGAAAAGAATAACTCTTGATAGATTTTATGATTAGAAGATGATTGACTAAGTATATATGGTTGAAAATCATTTTTTAAATGACTTGATAAACCAATAACAGTATCAAGAACATTTAACCAATCTTGTTTGAATTTATCTATTATTCTATCAGCTTCATCAATAACAAGATAACGAAGATGTATTAAAGAAAATCCTGGCATTCTACTAATGTGTTAAACAAGACGACCAACTGTACAAACATTAATGTCAATAGATGATATCCAACCTTTATGAAACAAAAAAAAATGATTTTTAGAAGTATAAAATAAAACAGATAAACTATTTTTTGTGGAACTCACGTGAAACGGGCCTCAGACTCCTTAGCAACAAAAAAAAAAGCATTAACTACAAAACTTAAACTATTCTAACTAGTGCAAATCTCGTACCTCACTGGTGCTCAAATTTTAAAGTATGTCATATGATCAACATTAAAATCGCTGACTGATTAAGTTATATTTTAGTGCTTTAAGACCTACTGTAAGTATAATAATAACGCTAAATTAAGAAAAACGGAGTACCCTTGGAGAACAATTATAATCTATTAGAGGTTTTTACTTAATGAATTTTGTGTTAGGATAATGAGGCTGAAGAACACATATGAGTTTCATGTTTTAACTTCAGCAAGTCAGCGTTACACAAGACTTTTCCTACTTCCATTCAATTGTTGTTTAACTAAAATTTTTTGTTCATCTTTAAATAAATGTTGTCCAGCAAGTAAAGCTGTTTTTAATTGTAATTTATTTCCTATTTGATTAACAACATTATAAACTTCTTCAGCTAAATCTTATACAAGTAAAAGAATAACAATACGAATAGCACATATAACACGATGACGAATACATTGTAATAATGGTATAACATATGTTAAAGTTTTTTCACTACCTGTTGGTGATGATACACAAATATCAGCTAATGGTATTGGTGAATGTGATTGGTTTTGTTGAATTAAATAAGGTATAACTTGTGATTGAACAGAAAATAAATGTTGAATAGAAAGATCATTAATTAATATTGATCGAATATCTACATCAAGATAATCAATTTGATTAATAGATATTGTTGTTTCTGTTTGTAATTGTCCACTATCAAATCGTTTAGCTAATGAAGACATTCATTCTGGTAAACGATATAAATCTCTTTTTTTCTTTAATGATGAATTTTCGTCGAGAAAATTTAGAAAGATTGTAAAATCTACTTCTTGTTTTTCTTCAACAGGCATTTTAATTTATATCTAAAAATTTTTATCTATAATAAATAAGATAAGTTTTGTAAGGTGCCGGCAATGCAAAATTTGAGCACTCTTCATTTTTAGCGTAAACATACATCATTAGATTCAGTTTTCCCTGCTGATTACGAATATGACCTTATTCTTTTGATTTAACAAAATTTTTCTTGAGAAAAATGCAAAATACTAAGCAAGTGTCAAAATCTTCAAAAAACACCTTCTTCTGAAAAAACACCCTGATACTTTTTACCATTCCAGTTTTTTGTTCTTCCCGATGTGATTTTTGGATTCATCATATAAAATTGAGTCTAGAAATGTTGTCTAGAGTTTCATTGCATATTACATGCTCACTCTAAAAAATCTACGATTCAGTGTCTCTGTCGATGGTAGTACCTAATTTTGCAAACCTATCTAATTTTTTCTGGTAAGTCATAGAACCCTCATTCTTATGTCATTCGCACCGCCATGTAATGCGCAACAAAAATATGGATCGCGTTTTTTGAAATTCTTTTTCATTGTTGAGAAAACTCATTTTTTCTAAATATTAGGCGAAAATATCAGAATTCGGCCCGTAATCCTCAACTTTTTCAATCAAGTCTTAATTTATATGTAATAAAAACATCATATTCGGGATCAGCACGAAAAACTGAGTTGAATAAACTATCTCTCAAGTTAATTTGACAACTTTCATTTTTCCGCATTTTTTCGAATATAAGTTAGACGACCACGGTTTAGATATAAACGTCAAAAAGCGCCAAAAAATGAAAGTTGTCAAATTAACTTGAGAGATAGTTTATTCAACTCAGTTTTTCGTGCTGATCCCGAATATGATGTTTTTATTACATATAAATTAAGACTTGATTGAAAAAGTTGAGGATTACGGGCCGAATTCTGATATTTTCGCCTAATATTTAGAAAAAATGAGTTTTCTCAACAATGAAAAAGAATTTTTAAAAAAACGCGATCCATATTTTTGTTGCGCATTACATGGCGGTGCGAATGACATAAGAATGAGGGTTCTATGACTTACCAGAAAAAATTAGATAGGTTTGCAAAATTAGGTACTACCATCGACAGAGACACTGAATCGTAGATTTTTTAGAGTGAGCATGTAATATGCAATGAAACTCTAGACAACATTTCTAGACTCAATTTTATATGATGAATCCAAAAATCACATCGGGAAGAACAAAAAACTGGAATGGTAAAAAGTATCAGGGTGTTTTTTCAGAAGAAGGTGTTTTTTGAAGATTTTGACACTTGCTTAGTATTTTGCATTTTTCTCAAGAAAAATTTTGTTAAATCAAAAGAATAAGGTCATATTCGTAATCAGCAGGGAAAACTGAATCTAATGATGTATGTTTACGCTAAAAATGAAGAGTGCTCAAATTTTGCATTGCCGGCACCTTATAAATAAGTATTTTATTCAGTTTTATCTTTATTGAAATATATAATTTTATAACATGTTCAAAAAAGATAAAATAAAAGAACGTATAATACTCAACTGAGAAAGAAATCGTTCAAAAATGATGAATCATTTTTGAGTTGACTAAATAGAATCTGATTTAATAGACTTTCTTGAAAAAGTTACGACAGTTTTGCAGAACTTTTACCTTAGGATGGAATATTGGTAGGGAACCTAAACAAAGTGTTTTCGCCCTGATGTTTTAGTTATAAAAATAAGTCTCATAATCTAATATTTTTATGGGTCCAGACATATGAAAACATTCGCAGTTCAAATGATATTTTTCTAAAAGATTATGACAACAATACGATGTTCACATGTATCAATATATTGATCCACTCATATTAAAAATAAAAGAAATTTCTTTTATGTTCTATGACGAATAAAAAATACAATAAAATTAATATTATGATTGAATTTTTTTCTGTAACACTCATTCATGATGTAGCAGGAAACGAGAAACGATGTTGTGGAACCAGCCGAACCCATTAGAATAGATCTATGGACTCGAATCTTTTTTTCTCGAGTTCTTCTAGTCTTCAAATCCTCTCTATAAGCCAAAGATATAGACTCATAAATGATGAAGCACTTGTGATAATTGTCCCATAAACCGTGGATTTACAATTATATTTGTGTAAATTTTACAAGCTCAAAAAATTTCTTTTCTAACATGTTTTTTTATGACATAAGCGTCGTATTGTGTGAATTTTCTTCATGTTAACTTTTAAAAATAATTAATCGATGAAAAAAACATTATATTGTCATATTTTTTTCCTAGTAATTTAATGACTGATGTTACGTAAAGTGAATGACATTGTAATCTATATCACAATCTAAAATTTAATGCGATAACAGAGTTATATACAAAAATAGATAAATAAAACATATTTGGAAAGACTTATTGATGAGAAACATCATGAACATAGTCGAGTTGAACTATCAGAAAAAAATGTCCTTCTATGAAAGGTTTTATCTCACAACCTAATGAAGCGAAAATAGAAAAATGTACAAAGCCATGTGATTTGGTTTTTTATGTCGACTGAATAATTTGATTTACCTTCGACCATTGATTTGCTGTTATATAAGTCTAATCGTCTATTATGATTGTATTTATAAGTGAGTCAATAATAGATTTCGTGCCCTATTATAAAATATCAATAATTAGTTCTACTGAAAAGAACTGTTCACAACCTTAAATTAATCTAAGAAATAATCACAAAATATAAAGAAAAAATACATTGCAAATTTCATGCTTTATTTATCTCAAAATCACTAAAGTACATCGACATAGACTATTCTTCTTTTGAGTTATAATAACATATTTGTTTTCGTTTGTAGAATTAAGTAGAAAACTTCATATGTTTTATTGGATGTTTTTAGAAACAACGTCGATTGATCATTGACATTAGCGATTTAGACTATTTTTGTATTAAGTTTATATGAATTAAAATTTCATTGTTCATGTTGAGAATGATATGAATCCGATATATATACTAATATTATGATAAATAGCTTTTAAAAAATAATAAATCTTCTTTTTTAGAATATCATTTGAAAAAAAACTAACCTTTTATTTTCGACTGATACTGATCTGTGATAACCATAAAAGAAAAATAGAATAAAGATCAATGAAAATTTCTATTAATCAATATCATCAATTTATTCTTCTTAAAGTTTTACAAGAAAATAAATATTTCAAATCGTTTTCATTAAACATAAGTTGACTCTATACTGAAGTTGAGCATAAGATATTTTTATAAATTCGGCGAAACATCGTTTGATGATTACTCCAAAAAATGAAACAATCAAAAGCCTTTATTAAACGATTATTTTCTGAATTAAATATAATTACAATAAAACTTTCACCGGGAATAAACTTCAAATTTAAATAACCATCATGAACTATTTATTTTTCTAAATCATTATTTGGATTATTGATATCCTTCAATACTTTTAGATATAATTTTTCTGAAATCATTCCATATGATATTGATTGAGTTTGTTCATTATTCACTTTTTCAACCATCATATATGTTACCAATACGGTTCTTCGGGTCGCATTCACTTTGTCGACAATCATTTTGCCGAAACCACTTTGCCGACAAATTGTTTTGTCGACAGGTACTTTTTGCCGACAGGTACATTTTGCCGATGCCTTGTTTCGTCGACATCATTTTGCCGACAATTCGTTTTGCCGACAAACTTTGTTCATATCTTAGCCTACTAAATCTAATAATTTCCAGGGTACACCGGTAAGAGGTGTATAAACTGGCATCCCGTGAACAAAGGACAAACATACAGATATAAAAACTCATCAATGTTAATTTTGGATTTGTCTTTCGTAGACTTAATCACTTCAGCGTACCTGCTTGAAACACTCTCACTGTTTTGACTTGAAGCCATGATTAAATTGTAACTTATCTCACGAGTAACAGATGAGTTTTAAAAATTTTCTGGCACAATATAGTCAACAAATTTCAATTTTTTTGACTTTAATTTTTTGTCGACAAAATAAATAGTCGGTGAAACAAGCCGTCGGCAAAATGTACGTGTCGGCAAAAAGTACCTGTCGACAAAACAATTTGTCGGCAAAGTGGTGTCGACAAAGTGATGTGTCGGCAAAGTGATTGTCGGCAAAGTGATACGGACCCAAAAAAAGCAATCTGTATATGATTCATTTAGAAAGACTCATCACACATAAGTACAACATTAGAACCGCATATAAACATGAGAACCTTGATTTACTGTTTTTTAAATCCTAAATCATCATAAAACCTATCAAAACTATCATGGTCGTCTTCATCATTATGAACATCAGTATGATTTGAACAAAACTAAATTAAATATTGTAATTTTCGATTTTTCTTGCAGATATCACGTAAATACCGGGAATGAACTGGCATAAATCTGAAAAGGAAAAAAACAACAAAGTCAGGCAAAGAATGCTATTTAGCGAATACTAGAAAAACTAAATTAGATCACTGTCTATTCATGGTTTGAACATAATTTTTTTAATAAAAATAAATTTAAAATCTCTCCTACAAAGTGTACATTGTACACTGTGGTTTTTAAACTAAGTGTTCAGCAGCATGTATTTTCACAGCTGCAGATGCTTGTACACTTGCCATTAGAAACACTGATGGGTAGTACTGATTGGAAGTTTCTATTGCCATTCCCATGCTGAAGTCATTAAAGTCTTTCTGTATTTGGATTGGTCAGATTGTATTCATTATTTTTCAGCATAGACACTTTTTCGAAAAAAAAAATTTCTGCACCAACTACCGTTATTAAAAAGTTTGGCCTATTTAATTTTTTCAGAGGTCGTCACACGTAGTGCATTTGATATTGATTCGCTTAAAAAGCTATGCTTTTTTTGCACTGTCGGCTGACTAAATAAACAAAAGCTTTAATTCTATTTATTATAATGTATGTTTTTTTTTCTTCTTAGAATGTCACAACTTATTAACATGACACAAATAATCGATCGAATTGAAAATGCATTACCTAACACCAGTACTACCCAGGTCCAATAAAACGGCGTCGTAAACGGCCTGAAACGGCTATAAAACGGCGATTAACGATGTAAAACGTCGATAAACGGCACCGTAATCCGTCATACCAGATTACGGAAGCAAAACCGGAAAAAAACGAACGCCGTTTTCTAGTGATAAACGGTGGTCGTAATACGGTATGACGGATTACGGCGAAATAAGGCCAAAATTACTGCAGTAATTCGCCGTTTTATAGTCGTTTCAGGCCGGATACGACGCCGTTTCCGACGGCCGGAATGATCCACCTGGGTAAGCTTAAGACAACACTTGGTGAAATTTATGAAAGTCAATCATCAACATCTGGTAAAAAAAAATCTTTTTCATCATTATTCAAAGAATTACTCGAGTATTTAACTATTGAATTATCCACAACAACAAACTCGATTCATGATATTCAAATCCAGACCGTTTACGACCAAGTAAAATTAGATCTGGACAAGTGGAAACAAAAATGGTTTCCATCTACACTTGGTCAAACTAATATTGATGGATTATTTATGGATCTTATTGAGATTATTCAATTCGCCTTTAAAACAGTTTCTACAGTATTCCAAGATGTATCAGTAAGATTTATTCTTTTCTTTAATTTCCTTTTTAATTTCTCGGTGCAATTTGTTTAGATAACAACGAATACATTAACAAAAGAAAATAAATTATTAAATCTTGAAATACAAAAAATGAATGAAGAAAGTAAAAAATTAAATGATTATACAAAAAATATAGAACAAGAAGTTACAAATCTTCGGAACAACGAACTGAAGAGACAAAGAAAAGAAAAATTGCAAGAAAAGCAAATTTTAATAAGAGATCTCTTCAATATTCCAATACAAAGATTATCTCAAGAAATTGAAAAGCACAACTTGAACAAAAATCAAATCAACATCTATTATAAGACAACAATAAATAGCAATAAATTGTCATCTAAACATCCATTATTATACCAAATACTTGATGAAGTATCAAAAGAATTTGGAGTGGACGTTGATCAAATGTTAACATGTTTCAAACAGAAAAAACAATCAAATGATACTTTTCATCTTCAGCAAGTAATCAAAGCATTTGCAAATGGAAAAAAATGGACGAAAAATTATGATTTAAATGAATTTTTACGTATTCAGGATATGTATCCTCTTGATTCAGAAGATTCACTCCTATTACAGCCGATATTTAAACAAATGTGCCGAATAATCAACAAAGATAGAAAATAACAACGTAATTTAAAAGATGCAACAAAAGAAAAGGAACTTTATCTTTTTTTATTTTATGGATAGTAAACATGTTTTTTTTTTATGAACAAAAAACAAATAAAGGATATTTTGGTTGAAATTTTTTTTTATCATTAACATATAGATACTAAATTTAACGGTTACAACAGATTTATTCGTATATAACTATTGTTGTTTATTCATTCATTCTCATATATAAATTGATTAGGGGATTTCGTTTTATTTGTTCAGTCAGTTAATAACACAGATCAGTTGTTGTTCTAAAGGCCAGAACTAAAATTGCGTTTTATTCTCTAGAATTTGGGTATATTTGTTTTTATTTTTGAAAATATACACAGTAGAAAAATAATTAAGTTGACGCGTAAAATATAAATAGGAAAATTTATTGGTTTTTAAAAAAATGTGAATTTTGAGAATTACTTCGGCTCTCGATTATGATTCTTGCTGTTACTAAGATAGACTTCGAAAGAAAACTCGATACACGACTTCAATCTGATCTAATTGGCACTACTAATACCAAAATTCTGGAGTTTTGTTGAATTCGATTCATCAAAATCTTTTTGTTCATTCGAGATGATCCATGAAAAACATGTCAAATTTGTGTTTCTTCTATGCCGAAAATGGGTTTTAGCAAAGATTAATTTTGCCAAGGCAATCTAAATCATGTAGGAATTCTTCAATTTTTCTGTAATTAGAGATATGAATATTCAAACAAGAAATATAATCGAATTCTTTAGATTGTCATGGTCACATGGGCGGTAAAAAGTCTGTATTTTACACTGAGGAATAAATTTAAAAAATAATTCTTTATTTATTTCCCTATTAAGAACCTTTTTGTCCAACAGAAAATCGAAAAATCTCGCAAATATTTGAATATCATTCACAGGAATTTGTATCAAACTGTATATTTTGTCACGTAATTGAGAAGCAACAACTTCTGAAGAAGCAGCACATGTGAAAATAAGCTGAAGTAGATAACTGTAGTACTGTTTTCACAGCATGTTCATTCGTTAATTTCATAGTTTTCGTTGTGTTTGTTGTATCTTTGCTTTCGAGCACGCTTTTGCTGCTGACGATGTATGAGAACGAAAAAAAATATGAAGTATATCGTCAACTGACAATTAAGAGAGCAGTCGAAATACATAAATATAATACGATCAGAAGGTTGTACCAAAACAAAATCTGCTACAGAGCTTGTTTTGGAAACATTCTCTCTAACAATACCTCAATAAGTCTTGTGTTTTTGATTGGTTTCGTTTTGTGTTTCCGCTTTTGATTAATCATTTTTTTCATAGTAAACGAAAATTCATATGCAGCTATTCAAAAAAGATGAGAAAACTTTGTTAACGTATTACTCAAGTAATTCAAGTTTTATTGTTTTTGGATGAGATAGCAATACATGTCAGTGAAGCTTTGGCAAATGGTAATGTGTTGTTAAAGAGGTTATTCCTCCAATTTCTAAGCATGCCGAAAAATCGAACATAATAGAAAGGCTAGAAGCATTGATAGTTGAATGAAAAAAAAGAAGAATGACTGAATTAAATCCCTGTCTAATGTGTTAAAATTTCAGCGAATCTTCAATTCATAATAAAAAGAAGCTTTTGGAGAATTTTCACTCGTGTGACTGTGCGTTTAGGTTTAAGTACGAATGTTCTGTTATCTTACACCTACACCGTCACATCTACACCTCTTTAGTTTATCTCATTTCAATGTTCACATTCCGTTTTATGATATTTAAAATTATCTTCTAAAATGTCAAAATAAAATAATAACCGTGACCATAACCAATTTGTTCACATAATTGTATTTGAAATGAAGCATTTTCACAAGCTTCAATAAATTTATCTGGAAACAAATCAATATCTTTATATCGGTCATCGGAATCTTGATCGATTAAAACTCGTGCCTATCAGTGTTTGGATACTTAGCACAGTACTTGGTACTTTTTAAGCAAAAACACCAAGTGCCAGTACATTTTTGGCAGTACGAGTACGCGTACTTTGTACTTTAAAAATGTACTTTATACTTGTACTTAACCGTTTGGCGCCGGGGCACGCATATATGCGTGTTGAAGCTTTGCACATATTATCGTGATTATAATATTATTTAGGCTTCATCGAAAAGATTTCTCTCTTTTTTTCTTATCTTGGTAGCACTATTGCATCATCGTTCCGTATAGCTATGTGTATATTATATGCTCTCTCTTGCGTTCTGGCACGCCTGCTTCTCACATTCTACTTCGCTCTAATATATTCTGGTGTATTGTCTTTCTTTTCTTTTTCAATGCGTTCTCTCGTATAAATGAAATTGTGATTCTAAACAAGAAGCGACTTACATCTTTCGATATATATTCTCACAAAACCAAAATAAATTCTTATTATTCTACACGTGTCTTTCCACATAAACAATTTACTATTCATAACTATTAGGTAAAACTTTTTGCTGAATATGACAACTTTTACAAACAATGATCCTCATGAAATCCAGATGGATAGTAGATCTGAACACGATTCTGAAATGGAAATTGATGAAGTGTATTCATCAGACGTGGATAGTGACGAATCATCAGACGAACTAGTACCAAAAGAACAGTCTGTAAATCGGAACTGGAGTAAAACTGCTTTCGAGCCGCATCTCTTCCATGTCGACGAACAAAACTCTGGTGTTTCATCAAACATAAGCGCTATGAAGAGCGATATCCCACTTGATTTTTTTGAATTATTGTTTGACGAAAAACTGATTGATATCGTTGTCGAATAAACAAACAAGTATCAGGTGTTTTCTGCTAATGATATGATACATGATACAGCTTCGCATCAAGCAAAGTGGATACCGACAAATTGTTCGGAAATGTACACTTTTCTTGCTACAATTATGCTGATGTCTGTAATTAAAAAGGATGAGATTCATGACTATTGGTCAACCGATCCAATGATTGTCACACCTATGTTTGGACAACTATTTTCCAGAGACAGATTTCTTATGCTTTTGGAATACTTCCATTTCAACGATAACTCGAATCAGGTGGTTGCTGATAGATTGCATAAAATCAAACCAATGATAAATGAGCTACGGAAGAAGTTCAGGTTACTTGTTATTTTATACAAAAATTTATGTATAGACGAATCACTCGTTCTTTGGAAGGGCCGTTTGACCTTCAAACAGTATACACCAACTAAACGTCATCGATTTGGCATAAAAGTATTCGTCATCTGTGACTGTCAAACAGGAGTGGTGTTGGATTTCATTGTGTACACTGGTTCTTCTACGGAAGTCAAGCTGGATCAAAACTTAGGAATATCTGGTTCTGTAGTAATGACTTTGATGGAAGCGTACTTGAACAAAAGGTATTCACTTTTTGTCGATAACTGGTATACTAGCCCTCGTCTATTTGAAAAACTACATGAACTCAAAACCGGTGCATGTGGAACTGTACGTAAAAGCTGCCTTGGTCTAGTTAAGTTCAGTAAATCGACAAAAGGTGATTTTGACTATAACAACACTAACAATCTAATGGTTTTGAAATGGCAAGGTAAACGAGAAGTCATTATGTTGTCTACAATTCACAAACCGAGGACGATACAAACACGAAAAACTGATTGACAGACTCAAAAAGTAATTGAAAAACCAGCGTGTATTGTTCATTACAACGAAAACATGGGCTCAGTTGATAAAACTGACATGCAAATCAGTTTTGTGGAATGCGTTCGAAAAACCGTCAAGTGATATAAAAAAAAATTTTCTTTCACTTGCTGGATAAATCAACATTGAACGCATATGTGCTATTCAAAGTCAAGCATAAAAAACCTATCCAGTTTGGCGATTTTCGAAATGAATTGATTCGACAACTGATTAAAAGACATGCTCAGCCCGAAAATTCAACTGGCCGTCCGCCTATTGGAGATAATCCCATGCGTCTTACTGCACGTCATTTTCCATCTTTAGTTCCATCAATAGCAATAGGAAAAATTGCACGAAGATCTTGTATAGTTTGCAGTTATACAAGTAGACGAGGGAAAAAACGTACCGATACACGTTATCCATGTGATGTATGTGACGTTGGACTTTGTGTGATAGGTTGTTTTGCAGATTATCATACTCTGAAACATTTCTAAATGCTTCGATATAACAATAAAATTTGTTCCAGATATTTTTTGAAAGGAAAAAACATCTTATTTTTTTCAAAAAAACCTGGTGCCAAAGGGTTAATTAAGTATTCAAAAGGAATACTTCTCATTTGAGAATATGACAATATTTATTTTATGAAAAATAAAATTCTTTAAAATTTTTGGTTGATTATAAACTCAAGGATTTTATTAATTTTATTTCAATTGCTAAAATTTGATAGTTAACTTTTAAAGATTTAATTTAAGATAGTTGATATAGAAAATAATTCATTTTTAAAAATTTTAATTAAAACTTTTTTTATTTTAAGAAAAGTTACTGGACTTTGTAGAGGATGCCAGGTTTTTATCAAAAATAGTTTTTAAATTAAATATCGTCGATTTGCACTAAGGTTAGAAATATTTTAACCGAAGTCAAGATAGATATTAACTAGCTGATTATTGTTCTATTATTGACAAATTGGTACTTAAAACCCACCAACAAGAATCATCAATTTGTTCTAAAATCAGAAAAATTTGAATCTAAGTTAAAGTGACATTTCAAAAAGTTTTTATTATATTTTATGGTAATAATTCAATATTTATTGCGGATGAATGTGTGTGTGAAGAGAAGACGCCCACCAACACCCAAGTTTCAAAACCGTCTTTATTTGAATATCACTTTCTATGTTTTTGATGTTTCTATATAAATACTCTTACACCTCGATTAGTTAGTGTCCATTCAATGTTCGATTCGATATCATAACGAGACTTCGATTGTGTGTTCAATCAAAAAGAAAAGAATCTCATGAGAATGATGGTAACAATTATGTTTAGCGAACTCTACCAATTGCAGTTAGTTAAAAGTAGAATTGACCG